CTGCATAAGTGCATTCGGCAATATTAGATAGTGCGGCCTCTGATATTCTAGAATTAACTATTGCTTCGCGAAACGGTAGTGACCTTTGACCCTTTAAACTCCGTGTGCGTTTGTGCGGTAACCATTATACCCAGCGATAGTTAGTGGCTTCTGTAAGTTAGTAAATCGTACGATAGAGTTAAGTGACTGTTATCGTGACGAAAGAAGAAAGTGACTGTGGACAACCTCGAAAGGCGCCCTCAAGTTGGAGCGGTGTCGACGCTCGGGCTGCTGCCGACGGCCAAGGTCTAGGTTCAATAACCATCAGTCACACCCAGATACACACCACATCACCATTCTTTCTTTGCACTACACAACCACATGCGACCTGACCGACTCCGGAGGGACCAGTCGCCTTGGATAGGTAAGTAAGCTTCATCCAAATTCCTTCCGGTCGACTGGCCGTAGTATAACGCTCCCCCATATATTTTAATGTAATTAGGAATTTCCACGTGGCCACATTGAGGCCCGACCTACGTCTGTTCGGGAAGTCTTCAGCTCATGGGCCCCTGAAGATTGGATCCTTTAAGGGAGCAGCCGTAGGCCGTAACACTGCCTGTTCGTTCGATTCCCCGGTCGATCCCGACCATAGTGCTCGATAAACATTAAACAATTTTGGTGGCAGGGAGCGTTGGTGTGATTGGTTTAATTTGTATCTACAATCACGCCCGTCCGTAATACGTAAAATATTTTTTTGTACGTAATAATAGAATTATTTTCCTTTGTTCTTTGTTGCTTGCCTTTTTTTGGTTAGTGGGTTGATTTGAAAAGCCGCGCCCTAGGTTGCGCAAGCGGAAGTTTTTCTAGAGATATACGTCATGTAGGTAGATGGTTATTTTTACGTAATCGGTTAATTATCGTTGTCGGATAGTTGTAGTGGATTACTTATCGAAGGGTCGATTTCCGAGCTAGGCATTTTTTGTTGATCGACTGTGATGTGTATCTTCGTTTATACTGTAATTTGTATTTGAACTAAAGAGTAGTAATTGTATTTGCGCAATTTGAATTTAACTTGATTTGATCGCACTAGTATTTGTTATTTGTTAATTTGATTTGTGTCTTTTCTTTTGTGCTAACTTGTATTTGGTTGATACGTAGTAATTCGTATTTGTGTAATTTCTATTCAACGCGATTTGATAGGAACTGCATTTATTAACTGTTAATTTTTGTTATATTTTTTGTTTGTTATCTTTGTAGTCTGTGCTCAAGCCGCGTCGTAATTTTGCATTTAATAGTGATGACATCGCCCAAGCTACTGATCCGTTGTTTGCGGACTGAGCTACGCTGGGCCACAAGCGCCCATGCTTTGATAGGTCGACCGGATATGGTCCATAACTTGATGAAGCAGTTCGAGCAGGTGGATGCTCGAAGGGCCGCAGTGGAGGAGGCTTACGCTGAGCTCGAGGATTCGGATGTGGAGAAGGGAGTCCTGGACTCCTGCTTCGCGGACTATGAGCAGTTCTTGTGGCTCACGGACGAGTTGATCGAGGCTGAAGGCAGGTATGCCGAGGAGGCGCGTGAAGCTCGGATGAGTGACCTGTCCAAGTCCTCTCTGAAGCAGCTTCAGCCGGAGCTGTTGGGACGACACCTAACTCTGGACCTGCCAAAGTTCTCCGGGGTCCTTTCCGAATGGCTGACCTTCGTTGGTCTTTTCGACAGCCTAGTGGACGCCCGGAGTGACTTGACCCCGAGCCAAAAGATGGTGTACCTCCTGGCCTCACTGGAGGGGGAGGCCCTGGGCGTCGTCGGCCACTTGAGATTGTCGGACGACGCCTACCAGACTGCTCGGGACCTCCTAGCCAGAAGATACGCCAACGTCCGGCGAATTGCGGACGAACAGGTTAAGCAGCTTCTAAGCCTCCCGCTGCTTAGTGACCGAGCCAGACTACGTCCGGACCTGTTGGATCCAGTCTTAGAGGCCTGTAATACGTTGAGGCGGCTGGAATTACCAGTGGGCGAATGGGCCTTTTTGTTGCTCCGCATCGTGCTGTCCCGTCTACCTCTCGACCTTCGAATCCATTTTGAGGAGAGGTACGGCGGGGACGAGGCCTCCTATATTCCGCCCTTCTATGACCTGCTGCGGTTTTTGGAGGAGCAGTGCCGGCGGATAGAGAGCGCGGCGGGCACCGTTGACGACTTACGAGCCGTGCCCAGTGAGAGGCTGAATCCTCCAGGCAAGTCGTCGTCAACCCCCCCATGCTCCTATTGTCGAGCATCTGATCATCGGGTAACGTCGTGCCCGAAATTATTAGGTAAGCCGGTTCCAGCGAGGCGAACTATCGCCAAGGAGCGCCGCTGGTGCTGCTCATGTTTGGGAGGACACCTCCAGCGAGACTGTCCGCATCGGCGGCCCTGTCTGCATTGCCAGGGCAATCATCATGCCGTTTTGTGCCTGAGTGCGAACGGCGTCTCCTCTCGGGGCTCTGCCAGGCCCTCGACCCCCACGGGCGGGGGCGCTCAGCCACGCCCTCTGCCGGGCGACTCTCGGCGCCCGCCGGCCAGCCATCAGGCCCCTAAGTTTGAAAGGGGTCCCTCCCCCGACCAGTCGGGGGGTAATTCCCCCAGGGGCGGGGTTGTCATCACCCCCCCTAAGCGTGTGGAGAGGAACTTCACGGCCACTCATCGGTCCGCTGGACCCTTCTCACTCCCGTTAGCTGAGTGGCCGCGACTGGTGTACCACTGTTCCCCATTTGATGGAGGCGGCCCTGGCTAGCTGCCGCCTTAGCTTCCACCACGGCCACCTCCACTGAGCCTTAAGCCGTCAACAGTTCACTTGTCAAAATGTTCTGTTGCCGACGGACTCAGTGAAGGCGTACAACCCGAGTGGCGACTGTTAGCGATCTCGGGTTCACGCCATGTGGCCTCCACTTGGTGGTGGGAAGATTAGGGCCCCTCTGGAGCGTTGAATCACGCTGTCAAGGGGTATTAGATTTGGTTTGGTCGAGCACTTAGTCAAAAAATACTTGAATTAAAATTAAAAATTGCTTTGGGCTTTCCGCGAAATTTTCTTATTTGTAGCGGTTTAAATTAAAAGAATTGAATTTAATCTACTCCTTTAAATGCTACTGCATGTGTTTTGTACATATATTTAATCACTGTATTTGATTGTTGCGTCTGTTTGCCGAAAGGAAAATTTGAATTCATCTGAAAGTGAATGACGCACTATTTGAAAAATTATGTTTATGTTTATGATAGTGTTTAATCATTTTGCTTTGCGAAGAAGTAGGGCTGTCCCTTACGTTATTGTTTTGTTTAATTTGCAAGTTGACCTATGCGCATCGGTGATTAATTTGGTTGAATTAATTCTGTAGTTGAACATTGATGTTTTTGAAAAATTAGTTGAAATATGAGCATAGGACTACTTGTCTAACAGGCTAGCTAGTTTTGGAGATTATCAGATTGAAATCAGCTGCCGCACTATTTTAGTAAATGATAATATGGTGGGTGGCCTGGCTTTCATACTAGGGACTATCTGTGCGTTTCGTTCGGCTCTCCACAGACGACGTTCATGTGGAATTTGTGGGTGCTCTCTGCACTGAAGCTTAGGAGGCCGCTCGGGGCCGCTTCATGTCGCGTCGCTGTTTGCAGAGCTGATCCGGTCGGATTGCGAAACTAATCATAGGGGCACAGATAGGTGTTTGAAAGAGGTCGTCGGACTTCTGTCCAGTACAGGACTTGTTAAAGTCCTGCGATGCCCAGGAGGGGCATCCAGTGGAGGCTGACCCTCCGGCTTGCCACATTAGGGCTATTTTTTGAGGCGCTGGTTAGGGTTGCAAGATCTGATGGGGTGCCTAAGGTGGCCTAGTTTGGTTGTAGATTCGGTCTTGCAACTTGCCTTCGCGACCTTGTCCCGCTGACCGGTTTGCTCGCGGACCTAAATCCTTATGTCCGGGACGGGGGTTTGTTCGCGCAAAACACTTTCAAGGATTGACGCGAGAGGGCGCTCGGCGCGGTGCATTCATACCGGTTTGACTTTCGGTCGTGCGAAAAACGCCCAAGGGCAGTCAGTCGTCTTTAATCGGTGCTGACGTGAGCACGCGGTCCATTCTGTTAGGGAACTCGGAATAATTAGGCGCGGCCAGTAAATATACGGTCTATCATTGTGACGCGCATTCCTACTGGAGAGCTTCCCGGGACTTATTGTGTCTGACTCAAAACCTGCATAAGTGCTTTCGGCAATATTAGATAGTGCGGCCTCTGATATTCTAGAATTAACTATTGCTTCGCGAAACGGTAGTGACCTTTGACCCTTTAAACTCCGTGTGCGTTTGTGCGGTAACCATTATACCCAGCGATAGTTAGTGGCTTCTGTAAGTTAGTAAATCGTACGATAGAGTTAAGTGACTGTTATCGTGACGAAAGAAGAAAGTGACTGTGGACAACCTCGAAAGGCGCCCTCAAGTTGGAGCGGTGTCGACGCTCGGGCTGCTGCCGACGGCCAAGGTCTAGGTTCAATAACCATCAGTCACACCCAGATACACACCACATCACCATTCTTTCTTTGCACTACACAACCACATGCGACCTGACCGACTCCGGAGGGACCAGTCGCCTTGGATAGGTAAGTAAGCTTCATCCAAATTCCTTCCGGTCGACTGGCCGTAGTATAACGCTCCCCCATATATTTTAATGTAATTAGGAATTTCCACGTGGCCACATTGAGGCCCGACCTACGTCTGTTCGGGAAGTCTTCAGCTCATGGGCCCCTGAAGATTGGATCCTTTAAGGGAGCAGCCGTAGGCCGTAACACTGCCTGTTCGCTGTCACCCTTATTCTATAAAAAAATCTGGTATTATCATCATCACCGCTTCACAAGCCCAAAGAATGTCAGCCTCTATGTTCAGCCTTTAAATGGGCTATAATGAATGTAATTAATTCATACATTCCAGCCGTGCCTATATAGTATCCTTCTTTTACCTCGTTATAGACCGGTAGAAATTGAAAGTTTAATTTTTTTCCAGAGTCAAGCATGTCGCTTCAGCGCTTGACAGCGCTTCGAGCGCTGATGGCCAGCCAACCGACAGCTTTAGCAGCATACATTATACCAACTGCCGATGCTCATAACGTAAGTTGATTATTTCACCTTTTTTTTTATAAAGTTGAAGATTTTGAAAAATTGAAGAAACAATCACCTTTAGGTATGTGGCTACTGCAGCCTATGAACTTGCAAACGACTTGAAACAAAGAAGGCTTTTGAACGTGGTAGAGCCATGCTGCAGCTATATTAATAGTATAGTTGTAGCACGAATAGGTCGGCTCGACCGGGGAAGGACCACGCTCTCACAGAATACCAGCTTAAAATAGCAGCTTAACGCTGCTGTGTTTCATATGGTGAGTGTAGAGAACCGGAGACCCATTTTATTGGAAAAAAGGCATTCTATCTCAGTCCTCACGGGTGACAACGCATCTGCATTTAATTCGCATACGAGGATAGATGTAGATATCTATGGGCCGCAGCAACCACTTACCATCAGGTGGACTGTGTGCTCGTTTGTCACCTTATCCTATAAAAAAGGCTACAGATGATTTGTCATCTGTAAGACTAAGATGGAATGGCTCGCAGCCTGTATTTGTACTGGTGTCCTATACCTTCCAGAGCGAAACAAACGGACTCCTAGCCCTATACAGGGTTATTTTCTACCGACTTCAAAAAGGAGACGGTACTCAATTTGACTGTATGTGCTTTTTTATGTGTTTTACCTCATAACTTTTTTCTGGGTGAACCGATTTCGATGATTCTTTTTTTATTTGAAAGATGGTACTCCACATGTGGTCCCGTATAAATTTGACCAAGGTCTGACCTTTTTGATTTATACTTAATAATTTATATTGAAGTCGGTTGTATAACATTTTTAATTTTAAATTATGTATTAAACGGTCAAATTTGCAAAAAAGGTTTAGAATAAGTAATATCAGCTGGGCATTTTTAGGAGAATAATTTAAATTTCTTTTTACAACCGACTTCAATATAAATTATTAAGAATAACCCAATAACTACTGGTCAGACCTTGATAAAATTTATATGGGATCACATGTGAAGCACTAGCTTTCAAATAAAAAAGAATCATCGAAATGGGTTCACCCAGTAAAAAGTTTTTTTTTTTTTTTTTTTTTTATAGGAGAGGGGGCAAACGAGCATGCGGCTCACCTGATGGTAAGTGACTACCGCCGCCCATGAACAACCGCAACACCAGGGGAATTGCAGATGCGTTGCCGGCCTTTTAAAAAGGAGTAGGCTCTTTTCTTGAAGGTCCCTAAGTCGTATCGGTCCGGAAAAATCCCTGGTGGTAAACTATTCCACAAGGAAGTTGTGCGAGGAAGAAAACATCTTCTAAATCGCACAGTGGTGGACCGCCAATCATCCAGATGGTGTGGATGGTATCGGGAGTTCTGCCGCGATGTGCGTTCGTGAAATTTGGCGGCTGGGATTAATCCGAACAATTCCTCAGAGCACTCCCCATGGTAGATGCGAAAGAAAATGCAAAGAGATGCAACATCTCTTCGCAGTGCCAATGAATCGAGCCGATCGGAAAGGGCTCGGTCGTCGACGATTCGAGCCGCTCTGCGCTGGATGCGGTCAAGTGGAAGGAGCTGGCACTGGGGAGCCCCTGCCCAGAGATGGGAACAGTATTCCATGTGAGGCCGAACCTGCGCCTTGTAAAGTTGCAGGCGGTGTGCCGGCATGAAATACTGTCCCGCTCTGCTGAGCACGCCAAGCTTTTTAGAGGCCAATTTGGCCTTCTCTTCCAAGTGACCACGAAACTGCACGTCACTCGATATGTCGACTCCGAGGATACCGATACTGGCTGAGGCAAGAAGGGGAGTGCCTTGAAACTGAGGAGATACGACAAAGGGGTTCTTTTTAGCGGTAAACGCGCAAACTTGTGTCTTCTGAGGATTAAACTGGACTAGATTTAGTCGCCCCCAATCCGAGACTTTGTCCAGCAAAGACTCGACTTCAGACACAAGTTTGTTCCGGTACTCGGCGACGTTTTCCCGAGAAATATTGGCCCGGCCGGTGTATAGAGCATCACCAGTGCTGTCATCCGCATAGCAATGAATGTTACCAGTTAGCAACATATCATTGATATGCAGAAGAAACAGCGTTGGTGATAGCACACAGCCTTGTGGAACACCAGCGTTAATAGGCTTGTAGTCAGAACATGCACCGTCTACAACGACCTTGATGCTCCGATCTGCAAGAAAGCTGGTGATCCAATTGCACAATTTCTCGGGAAGCCCATAGGAAGGCAGCTTTGAAAGAAGCGCTTTGTGCCAAACCCGATCAAAGGCCTTCGCAATGTCCAGACTAACGGCCAACGCCTCCCCCTTGGACTCTACTGCCTCCGCCCATCTATGGGTCAGGTAGACAAGAAGATCACCAGCTGATCGACACCGACGAAAACCGTATTGGCGGTCACTAATCAGCTGGTGATCCTCAAGGTACCGGATGAGCTGGCAGTTAATAATGGATTCCATTATTTTGGAGAACAAGGAGGTGATCGCGATAGGCCTATAGTTGGACGGGTCTGAGCGGTCGCCTTTTTTAGGGATCGGGTTATGAGGTAACAAACATAAAAAAGAACATACAGTCGAATTGAGTCGAAAATTAATCACTGCGATGGCTCACCGCTAAGAGTCTATGAATTATCTCTATATATAAGTGTTTTTGTTATTTATCCAGATTTATCGTCACGTTTAAAATAATTCTTAAAGCGAATCCACCGAGGAATTTTAACACAAGATCAATGGCTCGTAAATTCAAATGCTTATTTTTAAACTATGGTATATTTTACGCTTTGCGACAGTCTAACGGCAGTGGTAGAGCCACGCGGCAGCTTTTGCTGTCGCACGGATGGGCCGGCTCAAACCGGGGTAGTACCACGACCTCACAGAAAACCAGCGTGAAGTAGAGGTTTACCTCTGCGTTTCGCTTGATGAGTGCAGGTGGCCGGAGGCCTTTTTTACTGGAAATGAGGCATTCCATCTTAGTCCTCACGGGTGACAACGCATCTGCCTTTTGATAGATGGAGATGTCTATGGGCCGCAGCAAGCACTTACCATCAGATGGACTGTGTGCTCGTTTCTCACCCTTATCCTATAAAAAAGGGAAAAAAACGATAGCTCTTCATCAATCATTCAAATAATAAAGAGTCAAAAGGCCGCCGCTGATGGTAATCAGGTGGTTGTGTGCTCGTTTGTCACCCTTATTTTATAAAAAAAAAATCACACATTGAAATATTTCCTTATAACTGTAATTTAGTAATTATTCATATAATGGTAGCACTTTCAGAGGCTTCGCACGAAACACTTGATGAATGACTATGCTTTATCTATACGTCTGTGCTTTTGTGCAGCTAATATCCACAACGGTTGAACCAGTTTGGATGTGTGTTCTCTTTTTTCTTTTTTTATAGGAATAGGGTGACAAACGAGCATACAGTCCACCTTATAGTAAGTGGTTGCTGTGACCCATAGACATCTACATTTATCCTCGTTTGCGAATCAAAATGCAGATGCGTTGTCAACCGTTAGGACTAAGTTGGAATGCCTCTTTTCCAGTAAAAAGGGTCTCCGGTTCTCTACACTCATCATACGAAACAGCAGTGTGAAGTTGCTATTTTACGCTGGTATTCTGTGAGAGCGTGGTCCTTCCTAGGCCGACCCATTTGTACTACAACTATACTACTTCTCAGTTTCGTATTGAAATAAGCGCGGTAGTTAAGAAGGAATTGGCGCATCAGTACCGAAAGCTATTCCACTTCATTTCCTTTTTTATTCGTATTTCATCAAAGAATATAAAAAAATATATATCTTTTTTCTTTATATGTCTTTCATGTGTCGAAAGTATCTGAATTTGTGATTATCCAAACATGTAAAAATTCATAACTCCGAAAATAGTAACTTTATCATAAAAAGTAGTAGGACCTTGTTTATTTGTATTTCATCAAAGAATATTAAAAAAATATTTTTCTATATATATTTCATTCTTGTTCTTTATGTATTTTTAATGGCTCAAAAGTATCCGAATTTGGGATGTTTCAAACATTTAAAAATTCACTTTATCATAAAAAGTAGTAGGACCTTTATTATTCGAATTTCATCAAAAAATTAAAAAAAAAATTATCTCATTTGAAAATACAATTCCTTGCATTTGAAAAAAAAATTGGTTTAAACAATATAGCATCGAGTTGCCCCATGGCAACATGCATTTGGGTATATCATCAGTAGGACAATTTGAAGAGAATCGCATAAAAAAAAATTGAGATGGAATAGTTTTCGGTACTCATGCGCCGATCCATCGTGGACCGTTTGTGGTTTGTTTCATTTAAATCAAATGAAAAGATAATATGTCAATTATGCATCGTAATCGCGAACGCATGCGATGACGGTATGCACAAGTCGGTACAAAGATAATTATTTTACTACTTTACCGACGTGTGATTCTGAATTTATTATTTACTAGCTGTTCCCCGCGAGTTCGGTAGGTACTCATGCGCCGATCCATCGTGGACTGTTTGCGGTTTGTTTCATTTAAATCAAATGAAAAGATTGTCATTTATGCATCGTAATCGCGAACGCATGCGATGACGGTATGCACAAGTCGGTACAAAGATAATTATTTTACTACTTTACCGACGTGTGATTCTGAATTTATTATTTACTAGCTGTTCCCCGCGAGTTCGGTAGGTACTCATGCGCCGATCCATCGTGGACTGTTTGCGGTTTGTTTCATTTAAATCAAATGAAAAGATTGTCATTTATGCATCGTAATCGCGAACGCATGCGATGACGGTATGCACAAGTCGGTACAAAGATAATTATTTTACTACTTTACCGACGTGTGATTCTGAATTTATTATTTACTAGCTGTTCCCCGCGAGTTCGGTAGGTACTCATGCGCCGATCCATCGTGGACTGTTTGCGGTTTGTTTCATTTAAATCAAATGAAAAGATTGTCATTTATGCATCGTAATCGCGAACGCATGCGATGACGGTATGCACAAGTCGGTACAAAGATAATTATTTTACTACTTTACCGACGTGTGATTCTGAATTTATTATTTACTAGCTGTTCCCCGCGAGTTCGCCCGCGTGTAATATAGCGTTATTTTCTTTTGCACAAAACCCTAACTCTTTTTCTTAAATAAAAGTAGACTAAGTTACTCTTTATAACATCAGCTAAGTGTATGTACCGTGTTATTTTGACATTACAAAAAGACACTTCAATTTTAATTATTTGTATAGATTTCTTTAAGAGCATTTTAGTACATACTCGTATTATGTTATTCAAGATAAATTCACAAAAGAGTTTCAATTGTTTATATTAGTAGAATGATTAGTCGCGATACAATATGTTTGCGCGTATAAAATCGAAGACACAGCTAGTAGCAAAATGAAGAGGTTTTGGATATGACTTAAAAGTCAAATTCACGACCAATAACTAAAATAAATTATAAGTGAATATTAATAATCAAGACATTAACATGTTTAAACCTCGTTGTACACAGTCGGAGTATATAGCGTCGGTGGACGCCCGCCGGGAATGGCTCACGGGGTTCACGGGTTCTGCTGGTACGGCTGTGGTCACCGGCGCACAGGCTCTAGTGTGGACGGACGGGCGGTACTACACGCAGTTCGAGAAAGAGGTGGATACCCAGCTGTGGACACTTATGAAGCAATGTAAGCTTTTTTTTTTAATAATATAGGATGACAAACGAGCACACAGTCCACCTTATGGTAAGTGGTTGCTGTGACCCATAGACATCTACATCTATCCTCAATAAAGAATCAAAATGCAGATGCGTTGTCAGCCGTGAGGACTAAGATGGAATGCCTCTGTTCCAGTAAAAAGGGTCTCCGGTTCTCTACACTCACCGTACGAAACACAGCAGTGTTAAAATGCTAGTTTACGTTGGTATTCTGTAAGAGCGTGGTCCTTCCCCGGTCGAACCGACCCATTCGTGCTACAACTATACTACAAATATAGCTGCAGCATGGCTCTACCACGTATAGGTCTTCATTTCTTTTAAATTATTGGAACGAAGTTCCTTATCGGACGGTACGAATTTGACGGATGGAGGATAGGCGAGAAAAAGTGTAACGGTACGTGTACACCTAATCCGTCATCGGCCGAAATTTGCTCGGGCGATGACGGCCGAACTCGGACGATCGAATCAAACACTTGTAAAAGAAAGAGAGTGCGTACACAAACACGACCGTCATCGTACGATGACGCACGAAATCGGCCGATCAACCGTTGAGTCCGAACTTGTTGGGATTTCTCGCCAGATTTCCGGCATCTACAGTGCAAATTGAGGGTATTTATAGTTTAATTTAATAATTTTGTCTTTATTCTGTTGTTTTTGTCAGTGTTGTTGTCTACCTAAACGACTATGGATATTGAAAAATTAATTAGTTGTGTTTTGTGTTAATAGACAATTACAATAATCGAGAGGTTTCGAAACGGTTATGAGCTGAAGTTGGATCGGAAATGGATATAGCGGTTCCAGATATTTAAAAAATGCGTCTTCACTCTTGTTAAGCAACAAAGTCAACTACAGAATACCGGTAAAGTTCAATGTCGGCACACATGGTACACTGTTGCAGTGTAAGCACATACACGTCCGGGTAGTTATGTCCGCCATCGGACGACAGAATCGGTTTTGGTGTACACGTACCGTAAGATATTGCCGTCACGACTCACGTCCCCTTCTGACGTAGTGTAGACGGCCTTGGCGGCTATGTGGAAGCGAGTTGGACTAATATCCATCTCCCTCGCACTTTCTATTATTTTGCAATGGAAGAAATATTATTTTATTTTAAATGACGCTTTATTTTAATGGACGCTAGTAATCCATTTATTTGTATTTGTTAATCAATAACAATATACTACGAAAGGAACTTCGTTCCAACCGAGTGTTCCACGACACTCACGCATGTTTCTTTAAATGTATTTGGTTTAACCGTGTACTGGCTGTGTAAGGATATCCACTAACCCATATCGTAAAAGACGACAGAGGGAAAATTAAACAGGAAATGGGCAGCGTCATCTTCCTGAAAACAACACAAAATAATAAAAAACTGCGGCCGACAATCCGTTTGCCAAGGGTGGCAACTGTGGCAAAATCCCCCCGTGAGGTAATCTATGAGGGAAGCCTATGTTCAGCGGTGGACTTTTATAGGCTGTAATGGATGAATGGATGGATGATTTGTTTTCATAGATGATTTCTAGTTGCCGTTGTTCGTCATGTAGGTGTCGTGAGGGGAGACTAAATGAAATGTGAGAAATATGTTACGACTTGCAATAGATGGCGCTATAACCACATCGTTCACGCCAGGCGTTAAATACATTACATGGTAGAGCCACGCCGCAGCTATAGCTATGGTTGTATTTTTTTTATAGGATAGGGCGACAAACAAGGACACAGTCCACTTGATGGTAAGTGGTTGCTGTGACCCATAGACATCTACATCTATCCTCAATAAAGAATCAAAATGCAGATGCGTTGTCACCCGTGAGGGCTAAGATGGAATGCCTTTTTTCCAGTAAAAAGGGTCTCCGGTGTTCTACACTCACCGTACGAAACACAGTAGTGTTAAGCTGCTATTTTACGCTTGTATTCTGTGAGAGCGTGATCCTTCCTCGGTTGAGCCGACCCATTCGTTCGAATCTAAAACCTTCTCCTTTTTGAAGTCGGTTAATAAGAGGCATTATATGTAAGTGCTAAGGGGTGACTACACATGTGCATTTTGATTTACTGTCTATGGAGAAGAGCTTCAAAAGTGCTCACGTCTGGTACTGTGCTTGGTCAAGCGTGATGAATAAGGCAAACCTACAACTGGAAGCCGGCATAGTAACAGTCTGTGAGGCATTTGATCTAAGTCCTCAGTCATAACGTGTAACAAAGTTCTTTATTTAAGGGTTGTTGTATAAGCCGTCACTAACTATCAAGTGTATTGGTTAACCACATAAGTGGATTGGTCAGACCTTGATCATATTTATATGGGATCACATGTGAAGCACCAGCTTTCAAATAAAAAATAATCATCGAAATAGGTTCACCCAGTAAAAAGTTATGAGGTAACACACATAAAAAAACATACATTCGAATTGAGTACCGGCTCCTTTTTGAAGTCGGTAGAAAAAACATATTGTGGACTTGTTGTTTTCTGGAATCCAAAGCTTTAGTCAAGTTTTATTGCCTGCATCTAAATCCGTCCATGTATTGTATTTAACATTACGTTGACAGCATTACCAGACACGTTGACAATGGAAAAATGGCTGACTGCGAACCTAGTAGCGGGTTCGGTGGTGGGCGCCGATCCTCACACGATGAGCAGGGAGGAGTGGAGTCCTTTGCGGGTAATTCAGGCATTTACCTAATATTAGAATGTTTGAGACGGCCAATAGTAAGTATGTAAATTTATATATATATTAGCTCGCCAGGCAGACGTTGTTCTGCCCTTTCCAACGACCCTTCCCATAAAAATCTTTAAATTCGTAATAAATAATTTTGAGGGTCATTTAGCGGAATAAAAACTGTCCTATCTCTCAAGTTGGACCAAAATGCACACAGTGTGCAAAATTTCGTTGAAATCAGTTCAGTAGTTTAGGAGTCCATCGCGGACAAACAACGTGACACGTAATTTTTATATATATATATATACATATATATATATATATATATATATATATATATATATATATATATATATATATATATATATATGTATTTGCCGGAGTTATGAGTGGAATGAGGGAAAACTATTCACATAGTTAATTTTGTTCTAACAACAGCAAAAAAAGGTGTCCTTTGCCCCCGTGAACCAGTTGTGGTCGAAACGTCGAGAAGCTTCACATACAGAAAAAAAAACGCGTGAGTGTCGTGGAACACTCGGTTGGAACGAAGTTCCTTGCGTAGTATATTATTATTGATAAACGTAGGTATTATTATATTGTGCCGGCGCTGTCATCGCGCCACAAGCGAAACACATCGAGGTCTGAATCACGCTAACAAAGTTCCGAAATTAAAGCACTATATATAGAATAGCTCCGAACTACCACTCGAAGCGTTGGCCGCTCCCCGGGCAAAACACCTTGCCGGGCGGGAGATCTCCCCTTTTCCTTCCACCTGCTACAATATTATTGATTAACAAATACAAATAAATGGATTACTAGCGTCTATTAAAATGAAGCGTCATTTGAAATAAAAAAATATTTCTTTCATGGCAAGATAAGAAAAAGTGCGAGGGAGATGGATATTATTCCATCTCACTTCCTTATAGCCGCCAAGGCCATCTACACTATGACAGGGGTAGTGACGAAAAAATCTTACACTTTTTGTCGCCTAGCTCCCATCCGCCAAACCCGATAAGGAACTTCGTTCCAATAACATATGATCAATTCCATCCAAGAAATAATCGACCCTGCAAGTCACAGTCAATCCGCCCTTACGCTGTCGAGCCGTTCAAAATAAACAAGAATTGAACGGCTCGATAGCGTAGCGGCGGGTTATAAATCCATATTTCTTTTGTCAGGAAACCTTTTGTTTTTCCAAGTATAACTCAATGAGAAACAGGTAAGAGTTTCATCTACCAACAAAAATAAACAGAACGTAATCACACTATGATATTTTTGCAGACCGCTCTCAAAAAAGCTAAAATGGAACTGATCGCGGTGCCCAATAACCTGGTGGATGAAGTAAGGGTCCAAATGAAGGACCCGCCACCGGCGAGACCTCACAACGAGATCGTTCCGCTGCCTGTTAAATATACTGGTGAGTGCGCGTACGTGGTTAAGTTGCGCCTCGCATATCTTGAAAACAAATAGTGATATCTATTCTTTAATGATATATATATATATATATATATATATATATATATATATATATATATATCCTGTTCCTCAATTAATTATATTCTTTACACGTGGTAGAGGCATGCTGCAGCTATATTAGTAGTATAGTTGTAGCACGAATGGTTCGGCTCGACCGGGGAAGGACCACGCTCTCACAGAGTACCAGCGTAAAATAACAGCTTAATGCTGTTGTGTTTCGTATAACGCATCTGCATCGCCAACGAAGATAAATGTAGTTGTCTATGGGCCACAGCAACCACTTACCATCAGGTGGACTGTGTGCTCGTTTGTTATCCTTATTCTATAAAAAAACTGAACAATAAAAAGCTGCCATTACCAACCCGCTTATAAAGTGTTTCTATTATGGCAAATATTCCCCCTATAAAGCAATCAATGGGGGAGGACTATGTTCTTGGACTTTTACCAGGCTGTAACGATAAATATAAAGTTATTGAAATCAAAATAAATCATTCTGTAAACAGTTCCTATTAACATCCCAAATTTTAAATTTTAATCACAGGTCATAATGGACGAATGATGGCTAAATACTCAATCGCTACCCAATTTTAAAATGTCGCTATGTCTCGTTGTGTCACAGTCACTATGACTTAATTCCCGGTTTACATTATTCCAGTCCAGTGATGCAGCGAGAATCCAGTCCAGTGCTGGACTGTATCTGTATCGTATACATTACTCATTTGATTAGTCATTTAGAAGCCGTAGAAGTGAGAACACTACAGTGACAATGATTTCAAGAAGAGATCAGTTTCGATACACCATTGTTAAATCCTTCCTTCTTCGCAGTCCGCAAAAACAACCAACACGTGTCCACTATTCAGTTGTAGTGTCAGCACTGGAATGGCACTGGATTGGCCGTGTATATTATTCCAGCTGCACCGGATTGGTCGCACTGGATTCAAAAGTAGACCGCCAATCCATTCCAGTACCGGTTTACATTTTTCCAGTAAGCATTCCAGCGGTTGATTTGGTCGCTGGACTGGAATAATGTAAACCGGGCATAAAGTGATAGAGACAGCAGAAGACTTAACGGCATCTTGAAATTAAGTAGAGTTTGAGTATTGTGCATATATAAATTATACTAAATAGACGTGGAAGACTTGAAATCTTTCGCTAACATAATTTCTATATTAGGTAAGACTGCTGGTAAGAAGATAGAAGAGTTAAGAGATAAGATGAAAGAGAAGAAGGCGTCCGCTCTCGTTTTAACTGCACTGGATGAAGTAGCGTGTAAGTTGGTTTTCTCTAATATATCTTTCTTACATGTTTCTTTTTCTATTAGCTGGTAAAAACCCACAAGGGCTAGACACGGTCTTGCCTTGAAGTACGGAGAATTTTCCATAATCGCTATCGTCGATTATTCCTGTGGTATGAAGGTATTGTCAAAGCTGAAACGTGGTAATAATGGTTGTCATTTCGAATTATAACGGTTCATTGACACCAGCAACCAAGTATGTACAAAGATGGCTACAGATTCGTTGTCACTCCCGAGGATTAAGATGGAATGTGAGGAATCACAGCCTGTGATTGTACTGGCTTTCTATAGTCTATACACATCAGACCGGCACATAGCAGTACATGGATCTCATGGACCTGTAATAATTTAAAATTAAAAATTTTGTACAACCGATCTCAATATAAATTATTAAGAATAACTCAAAAACTAATGAAAACATGAGAGGCACCAGCTTTCAAATAAAAGAAGAGTCATCGAAATCGGTCCACCCAGAAAAAAGTTATGAGGTTTTGTGGTAGAGCCATGTTGCAGCTATATTAGTTGTATAGTTATAAAACGAATGGGTCGGCTCGACCGGGGAAGGACTACGCTCTCACAGAATACCAGCGTAAAATAGCAACTTAACACTGCTGTGTTTCGTATGGAGTGTGGATAATAGGAGACTCGTTTTACTGGAAACGAGACATTCCATCATAGTCCTCACGGGTGACAACGCATCTGCATCTTGAGTCTTTATTGAGGATAGATGTAGATGTCTATGGGTGACAGCAATCACTTACCACTGTGTTCGTTTGTCACCCTATACTATAAAAAAAAAAAACATCTATATGGGACCACATGGGAAGCACCAGCTTTCAAATAATTTAAAATTAAAAATTTTGCACAGCCGACTTCAGTATAAGTTATTAAGAGTAACTCAAAAACTATTGGTTGACCATGATCAAATTCATATGGGACCACACGAGAAGTATCAGCTTTCATATAAAAAAAAAGAATCATCGAAATCGGTTCTCCCAGTAAAAAGTTATCAGGTAACACACATAAAAAAACATACAGTCGAATTGAGTACCTCCTCCTGTTTGAAGTCGGTAGAAAACATTGTGTTTTTCATTCATTTTTTTATCGTTTTAATAAAAAAAAATCTAGAGGTATAGTTTTATCCTGATCATAACCTAGGCTTTTGATCAAGAACCGGAAGAAGACAAAATTACTACTTTATGTTATCATAAACCTAAGAAAATCAAGTTTTTTTTTATCAAAACCCTAGACTGATATAATTTTATGATAAAATCTACGTCCGTTGTTATTTATTTAAATAAATAAAACAATTAGATAACCTAACCTAACCCAAGCTTAAATTTTATCATAATCCCAAGGAATTAAATTAGTAGTTTAGTAGATTTAATATTAATATTATATAGACTGTAAGCATTCAATCCAGAAACTGTAGCCATAACAAATCTGGTTTTCCATGTATATTTATTATAATTTAAATATCTGTTTCCTTCTTTCCTTTCTAAAAAAAAAGTTACTTCGCTATTTATGTAAGTTGTGGTTACCTGTAAGAAGATGAACACATAGCATGTAGTTGCAGTGTTGAGTTATATTTTTGTTAGTATTGTGTGTGATCTCTTGGTGATCCAAATAAAGAGCAAAAAAAAGAAGTTCAGATTTTTTAGGTTAATGAAAACTTTAAGTAATAATTTTGTCGTCTTCCGGTTCTTGAACAAAAGCCTAGGTTTTCGATCAGAAACCCAATTTTACTAGAAACCTGCGATAGTTGTCATTATTAGATGTCATATAAGATGCTTATATAAATTTACTTATAGATACACTCAATCTACGGGGCAGCGATATCCAGTACAACCCGGTCTTCTTCTCTTACCTGGTGATCACTCAGAGCTCGGTCAAGCTTTTCTGGGGTGATGGAGAACTTCCCGAGACGGTACTGGAACACCTGCGGTCTGAGGGGGCGGAGGTCGAGGGGTGCTCGTATGATAGTATTGTGGAGTATTTGAATTGTTTGGCTGTAAGTACTTAATTTTACAATAATATACATTACTTTGCATTGTACACCAAGGAAAGATTAATGCAACAAAGGTTACATGCTATTTACGTCCCACTGCTCGGCACAGGCCTCCTCTCACTTCTGAGAGAGTTTTAGGGCAAGGAAATGTCCGCCGTGCTGCCACAATGCGTGTTGGCGAACTTCACATGTCTTCGAAATATGTTTTTGTTTCTGTTTCCCTTATTTCTCAGTCATACATGTTTCCTCGCGATGTTTTCCTTTACCGCCGAGCACGCGGTAAATCAACACTAAAAATTGCAATTAACAAACTTCATTGGTGTCGGCGGGGATCGAACCAGGGTTGCTTGCGTACAGTAAAATTTCCGGCGAACGCTCAGCAACTGAGCTATCACGGCTCTTACATAACAAAAAATAAACAAATATCGAGGGTAGAACAAAAGGCGGTCTTATTACTTACAAAGCAATATCTTCCAGACAACTAGAAAAAGAATTCGATAAGAATGAAAGCAAAATTAACGGTTGTAGTATAAATGGTGGAATTCCGTTTCTGCCTACGAATCTGTCTAGGTAGTTACCTATTTATGCCATCAAATTACAGTGGTTGCATTGCTTGAAAGTGTACAGAGAGCCGGTGTAACTGCAGGCTGTGAGGCGTTCCATCTTAGTCCTCAGAGGGGGAGTTTTGGCGGGAACTTGACCGGCGGTGGTTTGCTGCTCCTGTATTATTGTTTAAATAATGGTTTGAAGTGGACTTTGATATGTAAAAGTGGTGCGATTTTGTGTATTAAGTGTCTGCGCATGTGAACTATTAGTGGAAACGGTGAAACAAGTGCTCTGATGGTGATGTGATTCTCAAGATAAGGTGTCTGTCTGCTTAGACACCTTGAGATACCATCGCCAACTGTCAGCTGTCTGTTAGCTCAAGTTGCCGTCAAAATCTCCCAAGGGCTGCACAATGTGACGCATCAACATATTGTGAAGCAGTGTACTATGAAGGATAATTATACATTGTAACTTCAGGCTCAGAAGGGCTAGAACCCAGAGCCGTAAAGACAATGATAAAAAAATAGTCCTCAAAGGTGACAACGCATCTATAGCCACGTTTGATTGAAGTTTGTTGCAGTTGCCCATGGACTGCAGTAACCACTTGCCATCAGATGGACTGTATGTTTTTTTCCACTATAACTAATATATTTAATTTCGGCATAACTACTAACGCACGTTTATTACGTGTGTTTACTTACGGTGATAATAAAGTCCGCTATTAAACATAAGTCTCCCTCTTGAATGACGGCATCCACGACTTTCTGCCACCACGGCGGCGCCACTAGAAAGTGAGGTATAATATTTGACAGATTTCATAGCGGGGAAGTAAATTTGTTCGGAATATGTAATCGTTATTGTTTCTTTCTGTTTCTATTAGCTATATTTTATATTAATAAGATTAAAAATAAATAAACCAAACCAACAACAAACAACAATATTCATAAAAGTAGAAAAATTAAAAAAAAAAGTTGAAAATGCATAAAAAGTTAAAGAGCAAACCACTGACGCATTGTTTTGTGTATTAATATAATAATATAGAAACTGATAAACTTTTATTAAAAAAAGAACTTCTCAATTAAATGGCATTGTGTAACAAAAAACTTTACCTCAATGTCAACTAGCGACATCTGGTGAGCAGAAAATTATTAGCCTTCATTGTTTCATAGCGGGATTTTGCTATAGTTGCCACCCTTGGCGGCGGGTCAGTCGCCCTAGCGTCTTATTAATGTAAGTTATCAAGAAGGCGCTGCTGTCCATCCTTTATTTCATTTCACTCTTTCGACTCTTACGACTCCCACGGGATGATATAGGGTCGAATTCTCTTACACTGTCACTACTCGGTATTCTAAAATTCACATCATCATTACAGCAAATCACAAATTCACTGCTGAACATAGGCCTCTCCCAACTGTCACAGCACAGTCCTGAGCCCCTTGCATCCATCTACTACATATCCTTATCAGCACGGCTAGCATGGGCTGGGGACAAAAATGTATCCCCCGATTAAATCCACTGACAAGAGATAAAATTATGTTGTCCCTATGCCAAAGCACGGCAACGGGAAGAAGTATATCTCCGTTCGACATAACGAGTAGACATATATCCCCCGTACGTAGCATGCAGCGAAATGAAAGATTAAAAATTATGCTTTTTTGACATTTAAAAGGGACAATTATATCCTAGTTTATTGGACGTAAGTTAAAGTTTATATTCATACAAAAACTCTAAGTCTAAGTCTATCTGCCATTTTACCTACTGTGGATATTATATCCACCGGTGTGCTCATGCTCGAAGGGTCGATAAAACTATTTTTTTTTATAGGATAGGGTGACAAACGAGCACACAGTCCACCTGATGGTAAGTGGTTGCTGTGGTCCATAGACATCTACATTTATCCTCGTTTGCGAATCAAAATGCAGATGCGTTGACACCCGTGAGGTCTAAGATGGAATGCCTCTTTTCCAGTAAAAAGGGTCTCCGGTTCTCTACACTCTATCACTCACCATACGAAACACAGCAGTGTTAAGCTGCTATTTGACGCTGGTATTCTGTGAGAGCGTGGTCCTTCCCCGGTCGAGCCGAGCCATTCGTGCTACAACTAACTACTAATATAGCTGTAGCAGCATCTACCACGTACAAACTAAGCGAGGGGTTAAACATTTTCTACTTTCCCGGGGGATAAAATTGTCTCCCGCCCATACCAGCCTTGCAGGTCAAATTAATTTAATTTTAAGTTTATATTTAATTTAAATTTAAATGTGTAGTTGTGTATCTTAAACCAAATAGGTAATCTTAATTAAGTTATTCTTGCAGTATTATTGGATTAGATGTTTACTTGACTACAAGTAATTTAGATGTCATTTAGTCGTGCTCATACAATTTCTATAGTAAAGTCTCGTTTTGACGGCTCGTAAAAATGTATTGCAATGAGGCGACGATTTTTTCTGCCACTAGGGCGGGGCTACTTAAAAATTAGGTATAATGGACTATTTCTTAGAGAGAAATTAATTTGTTCGAAAATTGTAAAGGTTAATGTTTTTGTACTATTGATTATATTTTATATTAATTACATTAAAAATAAATAAACCAAACCACAGATATTCATAAAAGTAGAAATTTTTTAAAAAGAGTTAAAAATGTGCAAAAAATTAAAGAGCAAACCACTGACGCATTGTTTTGTGTATTAATTATAATACTCTAGAAACTGATAAACTTTTATTTAATATCAACTTCGCATTTAAAATATTGTGTAACAAAAAACTTACCTCAGTGTTAATTAGCGACATCTGGTGAGCGGAATATTATTAGTTCTCATTGATTGTTTCTTTTTTCTTCTAGAAAGATCTATCGGAAGGCGGCGATGGAGCCCATTCGATCTGGTTGTCGAGCGATGCTAGTGAAGCTGTACATCGTGCAGCGGCCGGGGTAAGCAACTAAATGAGACTAAACAGTTTTCAATGTAATTTATAAAAAAAAATAACTCAACAAAAAGGATTTTGAAATCGAAACTGAGTAAGATATAGTGTATAGAAGAATTTAAGACCCGACCTTTGAGACCAAATTTCAGTCGCAGCGGCCAGTCTCAACGGAGACTAGCTATCTGCGTAAAACATGATTGTAGTACACGAGAGTGTGTAAACATGCAAGCACAGTATTCCCACTCTCTATTCCCTCACTCTTAAAGTCCGATGGAACGATAATCCGACACGACCGGAGAAAGATTGGCGCTACTAACGCATTACGTGCTTTCCGAGGCAAGGAGGTTAAACACCGCCATCTTCCTGACTCCGGATTACTGAGAATTTCTCGATAAAAAAACCGATTTTAGCTCGACTCCGAACTTTTTGAATAAAACTGAAGTGACAAACGAACAGAGCAGTGCACGTACTGTTGTTTGGTAGCAGAAATGGGTAAAACGGTGGTACTTACCCACACATACAGTTAAGCCTACCTTACTATCCTATCCTACCACATAGTGCACGAAGTACTAAAAATGCTACGGAACCTATTTTAATTAAAAAAAAAAACATGTGTGAGTGTAGTGGAACACTCGGTTGGAACGAAGTTCCTTTCGTAGTATATTATTATTGATAAACGTATTATATTATTGATTAACAAATACAAATAAATAAATTACTAGCGTCTATTAAAATGAAGCGTCATTTAAAATAAAATAATATTTCTTTCATGGCAAGATAAGAGAAAGTGCGAGGGAGATGGATATTATTCCATCTCGCTTCTTTATAGCCGCCAAGGCCGTCTACATTAAGTCGGAAGGGGTCGCGACGGAAGAATCTTACACTTTTTGTCGCCTAGCCCCCATCCGCCAAATTCGTACCATCCGATGAATGTGCGAAATAGTCATGCACACAAATCCTTGTAATTACAACTATGGGTCTCAAAAGGTTGAGATTTAAGGAGTTAACGAGTTCCTTCTTACTCATCTATACACTAACTTCTGACTCTGAACTACGATTTTACCAAATTAATAATTTATATTTCCTTTTACAGGAAAGTGTGCTGAAGAAACCTCTCGATTTAATATCTGAGGTGTCTCCGGTGGCGTTGGCGAAATTGATCAAGAATGAGGAGGAGTTGGAGGTAAGCTACTAAGGTTTTGTGACACACAAACAAGTCCACCTGATGTGTGACTTCAGAGTGTTAGAGATATAACCTATTAACGTCAGAAAGGCATAATATACGCGTGTCTTAGTTATTAAAGTACTTTATCATAAGGTCTGTATTCAATTTGATTAGTACGATTGCAGGGGATTAGTAGTTGCGGGTGATTAGTGCAGGTGCGTAGTGTGAGTAGTGTCCGATTATGTTTAGTGGCTGTGTTTAGTAATTTCAGTTGTTAGCCGTCGACCAACATGTATGGAGGCACCTCAAGAAGCGCGCTTGCAATTACAAGAAGTACTGAAAGAAATATAAAAAAAATTAAGGTGTTTACTATTGTAAAGACATTCATGTTTTAGATACTCCTGCACAAATTTATAGGTTATGGGTCACTTTGCCATTTTTGTAACACAAGCGAGGTCCAACGCTAAACACTAAACACTGATTTTTTTTATAGGATAGGGTGACAACCGAGCACACAGTCCACCTGATGGTAAGCGGTTGCTGTGGCCCATAGACATCTACATCTATCCTCGTTTGCGAATCAAAATGCAGATGCGTTGTCACACGTGAGGCCTTGTGCGAGAACGTGGTACTTCCCCGGTCGATCCGACCCATTCGTGCTACAACTATACTACTAATATAGCTGCAGCATGGCTCTACCACGAATAATAGACATGTTTAGTGGCAGGCATGCTGCGAGTAAGGGGGAAGGAAGGGCGCGCGGGGCGTAACACTCGCAGTCCACTTGCAAAAAAAATAGAACACGCTTGTAATCACTTTACTACACAGGTTATTAATCACTTGCACTAATCAATCGCTGTCCACACGTGTTAACTCCTAAACACTAAGCACCTGCATTAATCACCTGCACTAATCACTAATCAAAGTGAAAACAGGCCATAATAGAACACGCTTCTAATCACTTTACTATGCAGGTTACTAATCACTTGCACTAATCAATCGCTGTCCACACGTGTTAACTCCTATACACTAAGCACCTGCATTAATCATCTGCACTAATCACTAATCAAAGTGAAAACAGGCCATAATAGAACACGCTTCTAATCACTTTACTATGCAGGTTACTAATCACTTGCACTAATCAATCGCTGTCCACACGTGTTAACTCCTATACACTAAGCACCTGCATTAATCATCTGCACTAATCACTAATCAAAGTGAAAACAGGCCATAATAGAACACGCTTCTAATCACTTTACTATGCAGGTTACTAATCACTTGCACTAATCAATCGCTATCCACACGTGATTACTCCTAATTACTAAGCACCTGTACTTATCGATGAAAACGGATGGGGAAGAAAGGCTTTTGAGTGGAAGCTTTCTCCTTGTCAGACTTCAGACCGGAACTTTTCGCCAATGCTAAGCTACGGAGAGGGCTATGCTTGGAGTTTCTCTGCATGATACAATGCGTAACGAAGATATCCGCAGTAGAACCAGCCCAACGGATCAGTGAGCTGAACTGGCAATGGGCCAGTCATATAGCTCGAAGAGCCGACATCAGATGGGGAAGAAAGGTTTTCGAGTGAAAGCCCTCTCCCTTCACAAGTTCCTACATAAGCCTTCCATAAGGAATACCACAAAACACGGCTCTGAGGCATCTGCATCTATCTACTTTCCGGTCGTCCTCTATCAAAAGGGTTCCACGATAAACTTCACTCCCGGTTCAAGGTTGCCACACGAGAACCTTTCTTCTCCATCGGTAGTCGATTCTTCGAGCTATATTCTTACGTGGTAGAGTCACGCTGCAGCTATACACTTCTAGAATATTCGAGTACATATCGGTCCCGATCGTTTAGGTGTCCATGGTTCTAGAAAGTTCTTCCATGGAAATTTCGAGAATGTTCTTGACTCTCCTAGTTATACTACTCGATACTAGAGGGCGGTAGTGGTAACTAGTGTCGCCATGTACCATGCATTAATCGTGGCGCGCAACATTAATATGGCTAATTAATTGTATAGTTGTAGCACGAATGGGTCGGCTCGACCGGGTAAAGACCACGCTCTCACAGAATACCAGCGTGAAATAGCAACTTAATGCTGCTGTGTTTCGTATGGTGAGTGTAAAGAGCCGGATACCCTTTTTACTGGAAACGAGGCATTCCATCATAGTCCTTACGGCTGACAACACATTTGCATTTTGTTTCTTAATCGAAGATAAATGTCTATGGGCCACTGCATCCACTTACCATCAGGTGGACTGTGTGTTCGTTTGTCACCCCATTCTATAAAAAAATATATATGGCTAGCCCTTCGCCAATTCAGCTCACTGATCGGTTGGGCTGGTTCTACTGCGGATATCTTCGTTACGCACTGTATCACGCAGAGAAACTCCGAGCATAGCCCTCTTCGTAGCTCATCATCGCCAAAAAGTTCAGGTCTGGAGTGTATAGAGAGTCAGCATAATTACAGACTGTGGTAGAACGACGCCTCCATCATGCGGAACTGCACCTGGTGCTCCTGCACACGCAATGCAATACAATACAATCATTTTCATTCATTATATATTACATGTAATATATAATGAATTATTGAGTCATTTTGGTTCCAAAAAATCTCTGAAGCTCTCACAGAATATTAACGTAAAATAGCAGCTAAATGCTGCTGTGTTTCGTATGGTGAGTGTAGAGAACCGGAGACCCTTTTTACTGGAAAAGAGGCATTCCATCTTAGTCCTCACGGGTGACAACGCATCTGTATTTTGATTCTTTATTGACGATAAATGTAGATGTCTATGGATCACAGCAACCACTTACAATCAGGTAGACTGTGTGCTCGTTTGTCACTCTTATCCTATATAAAAAAACGAGTATGCGACTCACCTGATGGTAAGTGTCGACAGGTAGATTGTAAGTTCGTTTGTCACTTCATTTTTATGTAAACAAATATTTTTCAGGGTTTCCGCAACTGTCACATTAAGGATGGTATAGCGGTGGTGCGATTCTTTAGATGGCTGCATGAGCAAATCGACAGTGGCGCCACCATCACGGAGATAGAGGCGGCCGACAAACTGCTGGAATTCCGCACGTAATATTACATTAATCACTTAGCTTTTAGTTTTTACAGCTGGACAATAGGATATATGACTCTCTAGTCAATTTAAATATGTACTTTCTAAAATTTGTCTGAGCAAATCTTTATATATTTTTTACTAGCTGATTCCCCACGACTTCGCCCGTGTGGGATTTATTACGATTGGATTTCATGACTTTTTTTATGCGGAACCCTAATTCTTTATTTAAATAAAAAAGCGTAGCCTAAGTTACGCCCTATAACATCAGCTATCTGCCAGTGAAAGTCCAGTCAAATTCGGTCGAGCCGTTTCGGAGATTAGACGAAACAAACAGACATATTTTTTTTAATTATAAGTACCTTATTATATACTTTAATATGGCATTTATTAAAAATCTGTTATTTTGACATTACAAACAGACACTTCAATTTTATTTATTTGTCTATACAAATATATCTATATATAGATAGAAAATAAGGGTGACAAATGAGCACACGGTCCACCTAATGGTAAGTGGTTGCTGTGACCCATAGGCATCTACATCTATCCTCAATAAAGAATCAAAATGCAGATGCGTAGTCACCCGTGAGGGCTAAGATGGAATGGCTCGTTTCTAGTAAAAAGGGTCTCCGGTTCTCTACACTCACCATACGAAACTCAGCAGTGTTAAGTTGCTATTTTACGGTGGTATTCTGTGAGAGCGTGGTCCTTCCCCGGTGGAGCCGACCCATTCGTGCTACAACTATACTACTAATATAGCTGCAGCATGGCTCTACCACGTAAAATATTTTCATTATCATTCATATTTACCAACTAATGTGGCAATCTACAATATGAACAAACTGCCATTTAAACTCGTCAAATGTGACATGGTTCTAATAACAGTACACAGCTGGGCATTATCATCAACATTATCATCATTACATTTCTTCACAAGTCCACTGCTGAACATAGGTTTCCTTAAGGAATGTCACAAAGTATAGTCTTGAGCCACTTGCGTCCATCGACTTCCTGCATGTCTTATCAGCTCGTCACTCCATCTAGTGGCGGACAGCCGAACACGGTACTTTCAATTTCAGTCATGTAATAACCGCTTTGGCCAAACACATTGTTGATTGTGTTACCAGTCTAGATATGGAAATGGGTAGCCAACATATACCTGATAACAAGTCCAAAGTTGAATAAAAAAATATTTCTTTCTTTGTGACTACAGACATGAAGAAGACTTCATGGGGCCGTCATTCGAGACTATAGCTGGTGCTGGGGAGAACGGAGCGATCATACACTACAGTCCGTCCAAAAAGGGCGAGCAAAGGGTGATCAAGAAGGATGACATGTTCCTCCTGGACTCCGGCGGTCAGTACAAGTAAGAAGTTTGTTTTTTTATTTCGACACTCTTTTACGAACCGTTTGTTTCCGTCTGTATGTTTTTTTTTATGTGTGATTTTGATGATTCTTTTTTTATTTGAAAACTGGTGCTTCTCTTGTGGTCCCATCAAAATTTTTTTTTCATGAATTAGATCTAGGGCTGACGAGTACTATTTGAGTTATCCTTAATAATTTATATTAAAGTCGGTTGTACAAAATTCTCTCCTCATTCACTCTCTCTCTCTCTTACTTCGTATGTCTTTCCGGTTTAAAAGCAATTGCTGACATTGAATTGAGCTGAAATTTGGCATACTCATATTAACTTTGATGATAATCCAATAATATGGTACTTTGACGCTGGTCTGCTGATGGATAATCTAAAAAATAAATGAAAAATGAAAAAGTAATAGTTAATTGTAATTTTAAGTGTCGATTTACCACGTGCTCGGTGGTGAAGATGATTTCATTGTATGGAAACCTGTATGTCTGAGAAATGAAATATTTGTAGGACGTGTAAAGTTCGTGAACGCGCACTAGAGTAGCGCAGCGGACTTATTAGCTTACTAGCTGAAACCCGCTCGCTTATAATAATACGTACGATATACGTATAAGTACGATAATAACGTAGATATAAAATACCAAGCATTTTTTTTATGTCACTATCGTAAAAACTGTTCTTAGTGAGCGTCTGCATTGCGAAATAAGTAACTATACTAAATTTCAAGTTTTTTTTTGCCCACAAATTTATTTTATAAATGAAAGAACAATTCATTTCAAGTATATTTAATTTTTTTTTAATTAACAATTCCATTTTTTTAGTAATTATCAATAAAAAATTGTTAATTTTTTGCATGAAAACAAAAACGATTTATGATTGGTTGTGACGTCATTATATCCGTTAAGGCTGTGAGCCAATCGCAATCATGCTGTACTTTTGTATTTTACTATATTACTATTTATTATTTATAGGATAACGATGGATCACCATGTGTCATAACAAAACATACATAACCTGTACCTATATTATGCAATGACAATTTTCTTTAATTTTAATGTAAACATGAGTGTTTTGTCAATCCATTATGCGGTGGCGTTACTAAATAGTAGCGATGTAATGACGTCACTGGAGTTTGAATTTACATTTTAGAATAACCATTTTTAATTGTAAAATTACATGAAAAATCAATTGTTAAATAAGTTACCAAATATTATCCGTACCCTGTGATTGATGCCACCTCTAGCCAGTAAGTGTTATTAATTTATTAATTGCTGTTAAACCACCTACATTTTATTTTATTTTATATAAATATTTTACGTAGATACTGTACGCTCTATATTTTTTATGGGATAAGGTGACAAGCGAGCACACAGTACACCTGATGGTAGTCCGTAGACAACTACATCTATCCTCAATAAAAATCAACAACATCTATCCTCGTTTGCGAATGAGAATGCAGATGCGTTGTCAACCTTGAGGACAAAGACGGAATGCCTCTTTTCCGGTAAAAAGGGTCTCCGGTTCTCTACACTCATAATACGAAACACAGCAGTGTTAAGCTGCTATTTTACGCTGGTATTCTGTGAGAGCGTGGTCCTTCCCCGGTCGAGCCGACCCATTCGTGCTACAACTATACAATTAATTAGCCATATTAATGTTGCGCGGCACGATTAATTCATGGTACATGGCGACACTAGTTACCACTACCGCTCTCTAGTATCGAGTAGTAGAACTAGGAGAGTCAAGAACATTCTAGAAATTTCCATGGAAGAACTTTTTAGAACCATGGACACCTAGACGATCGGGACCGATATGTACTCGAACATTCTAGAAGTGTCTATAGTAGAAGGTTAGGTAGGAAACTACCTGAGGACCTATATAAAGTCAGTATGGAATTGGCGATACAAGCGAATACTTCGAAGCGATACAACTGCGAACTAAAGTGATCAGTAGTACAATTGTCTTTTATTATTAGTGTGGTTTTAGATTGTAATTAGTGTTCTGTAATTAAAGTGTCAATTTCGGTAATTCAATCGGCAGTTTTTAATTGTCTCGAACCCCAAGCTCGTAACATTAACATAGCATGCTCTACCACGTTAAAAAATAAGTATATTTGGTTAAATTTAGTTTTTCAGTAAGTAAATTATTGTTAATTCTTAATGAGAAATAAAGATAAACTATAAAGCTGCGGTTGCCAACCCTCTCGCCAAACGTAGCGACTATTGCAAATATCTTCTTTATGATGAATGCAAAACGTAATATATATATACACATTAGTAATGCTATTAACATTAGTAATAATCTCTTACACTCGAGGTAAGCTTAAAATGCTTTTATTTGTAGTGGCTCCCGACAGTAGTAGAATGGCGGAATCGAACCCGCGACATTATGTGGTCGCGGTCCGCACTTTGCAATTAGGCTAATGTCGTTTCAATGACCTTTGAATTGATGTAATCCAGGGACGGAACAACTGACATAACGCGAACGCGTCATATGAGCGGCGCGCCCACTGCAGGGCAGAGGGACGCGTTCACACGCGTGCTGAAGGGACAGATGATGGTCGGCAGTGCGCTGTTCCCGCAAGGTGTTAAGGTGAGTCACAACCAGGATCAGACGTAAACTATGTATTACGTGATAGAACCGGCCAGGATTTAGCTGCAGCACGAGTGGATCTCCTCGACGAAAACTAAGTATTCCTTCTTCTCGAACAATATTATAATAATGTCCCCCAGACCGAATATTGGTCACGGCGGTCAGTTCAAACGGGGACTAGCCATCTGCACAGGACAGGATTATAGTGTACGAGTGTATGCGCCAGCACAGGTGCACCGTCTATTCCCTCACTGTCATTATTCGATGGGACGGCAATTCGACACAACCGAAGGGAGATCAGGCGCAGTACCAACGACTTTACGTGCTTTCCGAGGCGCGGAGGTGAAACACCGCCAACTTTCTGACTCTGATAATGAGAATTTCTTGACTGAAAAATACTATAACTGATCTTACCGATCCGGGATTAAAATTCGGGACTATATAAATGCCAGTCGCGCTTACGACAACTTGAGCAACGACTCAGTGCGCCAGCGATAACCCAGTCCTATTGTACAATTTAATATACGAGCGTGTAGTGGCACTACAAATTATTTTAGAAATGGAAAAGCCGTAACAGAACTAGTCCGTTGCGAGTGTTCTGTCACTCAAATCATCAGTACGTTTGCACTGATGATGCACTGATGTATGAACGTACGTTTATTTTTTATAGAATAAGGGTGACAAACGAGCACACAGTGCACCTGATGGTAAGTGGTTGCTGTGACCCATAGACATCTACATTTATCCTCAATAAATAATCAAAATGCAGATGCGTTGTTACCCGTGAGGATTAAGATGGAATGCCTCTTTTCCAGTGAAAAGGGTCTCCGGTTCTCTACACTCACCATACGAAACACAGCAGTGTCACGCTGCCATTTTACGCTGGTATACTGTGAGAGCGTGGTCCTTCCCCGGTCGGACCGACCCATTCTTGCTACAACTATACTACTAATATAGCTGCAGCGTGGCTCTACCACGTACAAAACTACACTACACTTCTGATGCATTCGCACCTTGACAACACACGCACCGACAATGCAATGTTGTCAGTTCAATGTCGGTACGTTCACAACTTTCAGTACACTCGCATCGGACAGTACATCGATCGATTTACTGTTGGTGCACCTAGAGTACATTAGCGCTGACAGTGCACCACTTTTGTTGAATTTTGTGATAAGTTTGCCGAAAAAAAGACGTAACAAAGCAATGTCACATCACTCTTATAAAAAAGGGCCTTAAGAGTTTTCTTCAAGGCGAGAAATACTTACGTTTAAATTATTTTAGCGCTCTCTTCTTCGTTGCACGAGCATGCCTTTTGTCCAGCAAAAAGTATACGTCAAAAAGTGGCTTTATTTGAAAAGTTTTTGCTTATAATCAGTAGATAAAGGATCTTAATAAAATGTAGCTGATTAATAATCTAATTCAATAATTTATCTTTCATTTTATCGAAAAATAGTTTATGGTTTATCACTTAAAAAATCGAGAACTCCAATCGTCAGTTTTTTCCGATTCAATTATAATTATTTTATGTCAATTAATATAAAGTAGATTAAAAATGCATTTGATTAAGAATTTAATTGAGTATTATATTACCATTTACTATTTCAAGTAGTATCAATCCTTGAGCATCTTCATCGTGTCTAAAATCATTGAAGTAATATGTACCACGTAATAGAACAGATACCGCGAATAAAATTTCTGCGCCTGTGCTTAGTTTTATAACTGGCTTTACGGCTCTGGGTTATTTTCCTTCTGAGCCTGAAGTTACAATGAATAATTATTATCCTTCATAGTACACTGCTTCACAATATGTTGATGCGTCACATTGTGCAGCCCTTAGGAGATTTCGACGGCAACTTGAGCCAGCAGACAGTTGACAGTTGGCGATGGTATCTCAAGGCGCCTAAGCAGACAGACACCTTATCTTGAGAATTACATCACCATCAGAGCTCTTGTTTCACCGTTTCCACTAAGAGTTTACACGCGCAGACACTTAATACACAAAATCGCACCACTTTTACATATCAAACTCCATTTCAAACCATTATTTAAACAATAATACATGAACAGCAAACCGCCACCGGTCAAGTTCCCGCCAAAACTCCTGTGCGGGTTGCGTGATCAGGCACAGAGTACCTTTTATGGCATGGACTAAGTAAGTTTAAGCCCGTGGGTTCTAACGCGTGTTGCGACAAACAAGTCTGGGCGTCTTTTCCAGTACGTAGTACATATTACTTCAAGGTCAAAATACGATATTTTTAGAGTATAAGAATAACTTACTTTGTCAATTTTCTGCTAATGAGGGCTAATAATTTTCTGCTCACCAGATGTCGCTAGTTGACACAAAGTCTTTTGTTATACAATATCATTTAATTGAGAAGTTAGTTTTAAATAAAAGTTTATCAGTTTCTAGAGTATTATTATTTTCGAACAATTTTATATGAAGGTGTGAGTTGTGTCGGTTAAAGAATATCATACCCATATCATCCCATGGGTATCGTAAGAGGCGATAGAGGGAAGCAAATGAGGAGAGCACAGCGTCTTCCTAATAACGACTAAAAATAAAAAATAAAAACTGCGGACAATCTATGGGGGAGGCCTATGTTCAGCAGTGGACACTATTACGCTGTAACGCAAAACTAAGTGATAAAACGATATACACAAGAACTACTAAATCGAGAGTAGGTACATACATAGTATCGTCACAAAGAAAATAGAAATGAAAAATAAAATAAAAAGAATAATGTGGGTTGAAATTAATAACATTGACGCTATACCACAGTTTAAATAATGCGTGTTCTATGTTTAAACGGTAATTTTATATAGACTTGGGCACTATAATCCTGTCTTGCGCAGATGCTAGTCTCATCGGTCTGGGCGACATTATTATTATTTTGAGACGATATTGAGCAATATTTTTGGTTCCAGGGCAACGTGCTGGACAGTTTCGCTCGCAAATCACTGTGGGACGTGGGACTGGATTATGCCCACGGCACGGGGCACGGCGTGGGGCACTGCCTCAACGTACACGAGGGGCCCTCGGGAGTGTCATGGCGTCCTTACCCACACGATCCTGGACTTCGTCCCGGACAGATACTCAGCAATGGTGGGTATGCAAAAATTATTTAAAATCAGGGATGGAAAAAATCATGATTTTTTTAATTTTAATCAAATCATGCTGATTTTTTTAAAAAAATCATGATTTTTTTGAATTTTTTGACTTTTTTGATTTTTATTGTATATTTTGAAATTCACGAGTTGGTAACATTGGTATGTATGAATAAAATAATTAATACTGTATTAATTACAGTTCATATCTTAAGGGTGAATTTCAAAAAAAAATTTTTGGTTGATTTTACTAAGTTTATGAGACTGACAGACCTCATCGCTACGTCTTTGTTGATTTTCCAAAGTTTATGAGACTATTGTAGTAGATTTTACCTTATGTTAAGCCAGCATTATTTCGATTTCTGCTTATTACATTAATTTATACATGTTGATTTAAATCAATGATTTTTTTAATCAAAATCAAGCGATTTAAATCGTGATTTAAATCATGATTTAAATCAGTCTGATTTAAATCAGCCAACTTTGTTTAAAATCCACGTTAAAATAACAATGTTAACGAAGATTAGCTTTAGCTATCAGACAGACAGACAAACATTTTAAAAATTGTTACACATGTCTTAATGACACAATGACACAAGCTTGGGGTTCGAGACAGTAAAAAACTGACGAATGAATTACCAGAATTGATACTTTAATTACAGAACACTAATTACAACTTAAAACCACACTAATAATAAAACACAGTTGTACTACTGATCACTTTAGTTCGCAGTTGTATCGCTCCGAAGTATTCGCTTGTATCGCCAACTCAACACTGACCGGGCCTTATATAAGGCCTCAGATAACTTCCAGAACCTTCTACTGTAATGAAAACTGAAACATCTAGAATGTTCGAGTACATACCGGTCCCGACTGACTAGGTGTCGATAGTGCTAGAAAGTTCTTCCATGGAAAATTCTAGAAGGATCTTGACTCTCCTAGTTCTGCTACTCGATACTAGATGGCGCTAGTGGTAGCTAGTGTCGCTATGTACGCTATGTCATTAATGGTGGCGCGCAACAATATGTATAGATTTACAAACATAATATAACATATGCAATTCTTTGACCACAGAGCCCGGTTTCTACAAAGTGGGGGAGTACGGCATTAGACACGAGGATCTGGTTGAAACTATCGCCATCACCAAGGATTCCAAACATCCGAGGGTATGTACTGTTATTATGCGCGTATGAACGCGGATATCATTGGTATAAGGCAGAACACTAGCGTCAAATAGTAATGTTAAAAGTTAAAGTTACTGTCTATAAACGTCCAACTGCTGGCCATGATTTCGGTCCTTTCTGAAAGGATTTAAATAGTTAATGTAGATGGTTCAAATTCGGTATATTTTTTTATACATGGTAGAGCCATGCCGCAGCTACTAATTGTATAGTTCTAGTACGAATGGGTCGTCTCGACCGGGGAAGGACCACACTCTCATAGAATAGAGTGTAGAGAACCGGAGACCTTTTTTACTGGAAACGAGGCATTTCATCTTAGTCCTCACGGCTGCCAACGCATCGCCATTTTGATTCGCAAACGAAGATAGATGCAGATGTCTATGGGCCACAGCAACCACTTACCATCAGGTCGACTGTGTGCTCGCTTTTCACCCTAATTCTATAAAAAAAACACGGTAAAGCCATGCTGCAGCTGGTTGTAGAGCGAATCGTTCGATTCGACCGTGGGTACACGGTCTCACAGAATACAAGTTTAAAATATCAGTTAGATATTTTAAGCTTGTAGTGTTTCGTTGGTCCACCGACTAATCTCTCTCCGGTCGTATCGGATCACCGTCTCGTCCAACTATGAGAGTGAGGCAATAGAGAGTGCACCTGCTCACGACCGTAGGGACCGAAATTCGGTCTGGAGGACATTATTATTATTGTAAAAGTACCTAGAGCAATTACTATATCAGACATCCTCACATTGGCTCTGACTTTAAACCATCCAACATTGGAACCGGCGTAGGCACCAACGTGTTGAGCCGGGCCTTATAACAGACATACCAAATTCTCTTAATGGTGTTTTAGATAGCTATGTTCATTGGAATACACTTTCAGGCGTCTAGCTTGCGAGGTGACTTCGACGGTCGTGGTGTTCTCGGCTTCAACACATTGACTCTAGTGCCGAATCAAAGAGAGTGCATCGATTTGGCTCTGCTTGACGATTTTGAGGTAAGTAATATAATATTCTGTCCAATTATCTACCCGTGGTAGCTCAGGAGCTAGGTCATCATCATCATCGTCATCACTACAGCCTATCAAAAGTCCACAGCTTCCCTCAAAGATTTGACACAGTTGCTACGCTTTGCACTCTACGATGGTGATGACGCACTTCCATTAGCTACCACAAGTAGCTAATGGAAGTGCGTCATCACCATCATTTATTATCTATACAAATGTCTGTTTGTAATGTTAAAATAACAGCTTTTTACTAAATGCATATGAAAGTATTTACGGTACTAATAACAAAAAATCAATTTTTAAAATTTTTGTCTGTGTCTGTCTATCTCTTTTTTTTTCTTTGTCAATCTCTGAAACTGTTGGACCGATCTTGACGGGACTTCCACTGGCAGATAGCTGATATTATAAGGAATAACTTAGGATACTATTATTTTAGAAAAAGAATTAGGGTTCCTCGCAAAAAAATTAAAACCCATGAAATTGTAGTAAATTCCACGCGGGCGAAGTTGCGAGGGACAGCTAGTGTCCACACCTGAACATATTCATATAGGGAGGATTTTGACCACAGAGCAAATACAAAGAGGAGGTGTTGTAATTAGATTTCACTATGTAAGATCCTGTGACGATTTGCGGGGTGAGGGGATGTTAAGCCCAACCCAATTTACTATTTTACGTCTTTCGATAAATAGTAAAACTACTCGAATCGTTTCATATCGATGTTGCAATGTAGTTTAGCTACCTTGACGATAGATGGCGGCCTGTTCACAAAATGATTATAATATCTATAATTATATTTTGTAGATTAAAAATTCTTTAGGACTGAATGCAAAACAAATTTCAACACTTATATTATAGAATATTTTACGAATACTGAGCTCTACGTAACTTTATATCTTTAGTTCCCATGACACAAAATGTCACCATGTAGTGTCGAATATATTTAATTACATTTGAAAGCAGACGCAGAGATTTTTCTAGAATATTTTTAATAAATTAGGTATAAAATTACTTACAAATAAAATGTGACGCCGCCCATAGCATCAGAGCAAAATACTTCGATTTGCGATTTTCGACACATAAGCGCACAGGACGAGCGCTGACAGTATACTAACTAAAGCCACGCCCAGCGTAACGACGTCAGGACCTAGTTAGAATCACAGTGCACAGTTGCTTAAGTCATGTCCTCTTTGTATTTGCTTCGTGATTTTGACATAGTTGCCACGCTTTGCAGTCAGGTTGGCAATCGCTGTTTTTTTTTTAAATTATTTTAAGTTATTATCAGGGAGACACTGCACCCATGGGACGATATGGGGCAGTGGATCGGCGGTGAAAGCAAACATCGTAAGGAAAGCTGCATGTCTGAAAAATAAATGTCGTAGAGCCACGCTCCATAGAAAGACGACACTCACATAATACCAGCGTAAAATAGCAGCTCAAAGCTGCTGTTTTTCGTATGGTGAGTGGAGATCCTTGTCAGCCGACTTCAAAAAGGAGGAGGTTCTCAATTCGTCGGAATATTTTTTTTATGTATGCTCGAAAACGCCTGTACCGATTTGCAAAATTCTTTTTTTTTGTTTCAAAGGGTATACTTGCCAGGTATTTAAATTTTATCGAAATCGGCCGAGCGGTTTTAAATAAATCAACAATAAATTATTTATATTGAAGTCGGTTGTACAAAAATTTTTATTTTACCACTTGTTACTGGAAACGAGGCATTCCATCTCGGTCCTCAGAGGTGACAACGCATCTGCATTTTATTTTTTAAATGAAGATAGATGTAGATGTCTATGGGCCACAGCACCCACTTACCATCAGGTGGACTGTGTGCCCGTTTGTCACCCTTATTTTATAAAAAAAACTTTTGTTACCTCAAAAAAAATTACAGACCGATCGAGAACCTCCTCGCCACCCTACCCCTCCCCTCCTCCATTGTGGTCTATTACTAAAAGGGGACCTATGTTTATTTTCAGTTATCGTATATCAACTCGTACCACAGCAGGGTGTTCAAGACTCTAGGCCCAGTGCTGCAGTCACGAGGTCTGGTCGAAGACTACAATTGGCTACAAGAACAGTGCGCCCCCATTGTCAGAGGGTAGGTGAGTAAAGTAAGTAGTGCATAAAAAAATTGTAAGTAAAATGAAGTGATCATCCATCCATCTATTGCAACCTATCATAAAAAGTATCGTAAAAAGACAATATTTCTATACTACACTCAAACTGAAAATTAAAACTTTTAATTATACAATGTTAAGCTCTCTACCAAATTATAATTTTACCTGTATTGCATAGAATAGTCTTTGTGTTTATATCATATTTTATTATCTGTTAATTTCATAACTAATTTTAAGTTTCATGTTGAAATGTTGTGCATACCTTTAAGTTAAATACATATATAGTATAATTTTGTTTATAACTGCAAATGTTTAATAATAATGTTTTGTATGTGTTTAGTTGGTAAGCCTAAATAAATAAACAAATAAACACACTGGTGAACATAGGCTTTCCCCACTTGCCTCATAAGGAGGATATTTGCCATAGTTCCCACAGTTGGCAGGCGGGTTGGCAACCACAGTTTGTACTTATTTAGAGTTGTTATCAGGAAGATGCTGCTGCCCATCTGTTCCAGTTTCCGTCTGTCGCATCTTACGACACCCACCTGATGATATGCGGTAGTTGACTTCTGCCCACTACACGTTGAAAGTGAACATACAACATAGTTAGTTTTTGTATGATATTTTTAGGTTATATATTTTTAGGTTAGCTTTGTATGATATTCTATACTAATTAAATGTTTTCTTAATTCTACTGTTTAATTATTTTATATTTTTTGCACGCCCCATAACGCGAAGCGTTATTAGGTAGTCCCTCGATACGTCAAGGTCAAGCAATTTTGTGTTCTTAAAATGCCTCTATCATAACCATATTGCATTTATACGATAATATGAGTAGCCTTATATCAAGAAAACACCCTAATTAATCTATCTTATATTTTCTAAAAAATCATTTTATATTGCAACTTTGAAATAAAAATTTAAAAAAATTACGTGTATCGTCCGGAAGTTGACTTTGAAAAAAGTCACGTATCGAGACCGGGTTTTTTTATTAGCTTCAATTTACTGACCGTCGAATCACCCCTTCCATCGTTTCCACTAAAAGTTAACATGCGCAGACATTTAATACACAAAATTGCATTACTTTTAGTATCAAAATTCACTTGAATCCATTATTTAATCTATAGTACAGGAGCAGCAATCCGTCTGCGGTCATGTTCCCGCCAAAACTACATCATGTTGTTTTAATTAAACCTTTTTTATTACAGGTCTACAAGTCAACAAAATGGCGGCGGTCAGTAATAGTATGCGAGATTTTATACTCAATTTATATTAATATGAACTACATAATGTATCGTATTCTATTGTACATTATCTAATAAATCGATTTACGCATTGAATCATATTAGTTTAATTTCATGGTAATTAAAAAAATTATAATTGAGTTTTCTGTACGGAGAAGGCGGTTTACGTATTTAAATTTTATATTATGGTTGTGGCACGAATGGGTCGGCTCGATATAGGTAGCATCACGCTCTCACAGAATACCAGCGTCAAATAACAGCTTGTAAGTGTGTTATCATTACAGCCCTTCACATGTCCACTGCTGATTATAGGCCTCCACCAAGGAATGCCGCAAAGCACGGTCCTGAGCCAACCTGCATCTATCGACTTCCTGCATGTCTTACCAGCTCGTCACTATATCTAGTGGGGGACGCCCTACACTTCGTCCGCCGGTACGAGGCTGCCACTCGAGAACCTTTTTTCCCCATCGGTTGTCAGTTCTTCGAGCTATATGGCCGGCCCATTGCTATTTCAGCTTACTAATCCTTTGGGAATGTCGGTAACTCTGGTTCTACTGCGGATATCCTCATTTCTAAATTTATCATGCAGAGAAACCCCGAGCATAGCCCTCTCCATAGCTCGCTGAGCGACCTTGAGCTTCCTCATATGGCCAGCAGTGTAGGACCACTTTTCAGTTCCGTAGGTCATCACTGGCAACATGCACTGGTTGTACAGTCTAGTTTTTAAGTTTTGAGATATACCTGACTAGAAGATATGCCGTAATTTCCCGAACGCTGCCCAACCGAGTTGAATCCGTCGATTGACCTCTCGGTCGAAGTTGGACTTACCTAGTCGGACTATTTGTCCCAGGTAAACGTATTAATCAACAACTTCGAGCTTAGTGTCCCCAATAACTACCGGCATAGGTGTGACATGGACGTTACACATGACTTTTGTTTTGTCCATGTTCATATTAAGACCTATCCATTGGGGGACACTATTAAGGTCATTGAGCATAGTGGTTAGGTCGTCTAGCGATTCTGCCATAAGGACTATATCGTCGGCAAATCGAAGGTGAGTGATGTACTCGCCCTTGACGTTAATACCGTACCCTTTCAATCCAGTAGCTTAAAAACGTCTTCCAATGGAGCGGTGAAGAGTTTCGGGGATATAACGTCACCCTGTCTTACACCTCTCTGCAATTGGATAGGTTTCGTACTCTGGTTCTGTACTCGGATAGCCATCGTAGCCCTACTGTACAAGCACTTCAGCACTTCGATATACCGACAGTCAACTTGGCACCGCTGAAGGGACTGCAGCACCGCCCAAATTTCGACGGAATCAAAGGCTTTCTCATAGTCCACATACGCCAGACATAGTGGCAAATTGTACTCCTCGGACTTCTGTACAATTTGCCGAAGGGTATGTATGTGGTCTATGGTGCTAAAGCGCTTTCGGAAACCGGCTTGTTCGGGAGGCTGGAAGTCGTCAAGTCTGCGCGCGAGACGATTCGTAATGACTCTCGAAAACAGCACGTAGACATGATTCAGAAGTGGAACAAGACCACTGCACTTCTGCTCCAGGCCTCCTCTTAAAAAATTTCTCGCTATTTAATTCTGTCCACCATGGAGGACAGAATTAAAGAGCTTGTCACGGACTTCAAGTACCGATTTTAAACCCACTTTCAGAAGCTCTGCTGTAATTCATCCTCACCTGGGGTCTTGCCGTTTTTAAGATGCTGGAGAGGCATTTTAATCTCGCTCAGACTGACGTCCGGAATATCATCGAAATAGTGTCGGGTAAGACTTCCTCTTGGTTCGTTATTTATACTTGCGTGTGGCTCCAACGATGATGTGTACAGCTGCCCATAGAACCTCTCAATCTCACTCAAAATCTCAGGTGTCCCGGAAACGACGCTGCCACACTCGGTCTTCAGCTTCTACAGTTGGCTCTGTCTGGCAGACAGATCTCTAGCAAAGACTTTCTAGCCCTCGTTCCGCTCGATCGCTTCTTCAATATGTATTGAAGTTGCGTAAGTCCCGCCGCATGCATTTGGAGATCTGTATATTCAGTTGCCTTTATGCTGTCAAATCTACTGATGACTGCAGCTTCATATCCCGTCTAACAGCCATGAGATTAAGAGTATGATCGGACGGTTTTGTGTTCTTCTGCGGCGGGTCTTGCAGAACTTAGCTCCGACCGCATGGACTGTCTGTCATGAACTGTCATTCATATCGTACACTGCATTGCCATGTTCTAGGCACTGAAAATGGTTTTGTAGCTCGAGCTGAAAGGTTTTGGGACTCTGGATTAGACAAGACTCTAGATTAGGCACGAGGGGGAGTGTTGACTTCATTAGACGAGACCTCTTCAACCTAACGTTTAGGTTCATTGTGCCTCTAACCATTCGGTGATCGTTACCAGTTATCTTCCTCGCGATCACTGAACAGTTGTCGTCTGGTTGCCATAATGAAGTCAATCTCATTTTTTGTCGAACCGGTGGGGCTCGACCAGGTCCAATTCCTGCGGGGCCACTTCTGGAAGAAAGAGTTCATCATAAAGAGTTCCTGTTTCTCCATGAAGTCGGCCAGCTGATGGTCACTTGGGTTCCGTTGCCCTATTCCAAATTTCCCTATCTTCAGCTCACCGTTCTTTCTTGTACCTAGTTTTGCGTTGACGTCTCCTATTAACATCGTATAGTAGGTTTTGGAGGAATGCATGGCTCTAGATATACCCTCATACATTTCCTCCACGGCCTCATCGGAATGTGCTGAGGTTGGTGCGTAAACCTGTATGACCTTCAGCGAATATCGTGTGGTGGTTCTGAGTATAAGGTACGCAACCCTCGTCGACACACTCAATCTTTTCAACGTTGTTAACGAGAGACTTGTGGACGATAAATTCGAACACCTCCTTAGGACAGATGGTCGCCCTCCCGGTGATAGATCAAGTTGCCGGATTCGAGTATTACCATGTCCTCCCCCTCTTTTCGGACCTCGGATAATCCTATAATAGCGCAACTTGTCTATCTCTTCTTCCAGCTCCAGGATCTTCTCGTCAGTCCTCAGGGTGCGTGCGTTATATGTTGCCAGATGGAAGCGTCTTAGGTGGCAACCAAACTTCCACCGGAGATTCTTAGCACCCCCTGTCCCGCCGTTACCATTGTCGCCATCGTAGCCAGGAATTGCGGGGCCGCCGGGGACTGCGGTCGTCTCTTGGTAATTTTTCATCATGGGGAGTATATTGCCATAGCTGCCACACTTGGCGAGTGGGTTATAACCGCAGTTTCTTATTATTGTTTTGCTGTTATCAGAAAGATGCTGCTGCCCATCCTCTGCCTCAGTCTTCCTCTGTTGCCTCTTACGACACCCACGTGAAGATATGGGGTCGTAAGAGGCAACAACTGGGGTAGTGGGTATTCTTACCTGCCACTATAAGTGTGTTAGGGTAAGTTTAATTAATAGTCCGTTTTTAAAAGATAGTCTAACAACAGCACAATATAGAAGGTTCAAGCAAGAAGATAGACAAACAGTAATATACAGAAAGAAGAATTTAAACAATGGAAATACTTTGTAACCGTGGGTCTTAGGCGAACAAATATATGAGACACATGTGACGTGCAACGCGGGTGTGGACGAACTGGCGAAATATTCTGCCGTCCCAGCGTTGTTCCTGGCAAATTTAGAGCTGCCGTATTCTAATTCTAAAATTGCCGGATTTTTTGGGGAAGATAAGAAAAATGGCGTATTGTACAAAATATTTATTTAGGGTTAAAATTAAAAAAAAAAACATGAAGTACATGTTGTTTACATAATAAATGTGTATTATAGTTGTATTAATGTTATTCTTCACCATATAGGTTTTGAATAGTTTCCAGTACTTCTGATTCTGTCGCATTTAGGTCGTACTGTTTTGTGTCTTTCATTTTACGAATAATTTCGTTTGACAGTTCAAAATTTGTATTGCTTGTCTGGCTAGAAGAGTTCCGTTAATAGTTGAAGTTATAAATTTATTTGGAAGTCTCGTTTTCATATTATTTACTTCACTGAAGATACGCTCGCAGTCTGCGTTCGAGTGTGGCAGACATAAAACATTTAAAGCAAAAGATGCTAATGTTTTTCTGATCCATCACGGATTTTATCCAAAACTCATCGGTTTTCTGTAAGCTAATTTCATATAATGGTAGTTTATTTAGGTAGCATTCTCCATTCATTATAATTTTTATGGAAATCGTCGGCATTATTGACGATTCGTAGCAACTTTTGCATAAGCGACAAAATGGACGGACAATCTTGCAGATCGGGGCATCAAGGTCATACTTAGTAGACGGTGCATGCTTCGATTACAAGCCTATTAATTCTGGTATTTTATAAGGTTGCATGCTATCACCAACGCTGTTTCTTCTGCATATTAATGATATGTTGCAAACCGGTAGCGTTCATTGCTATGCAGACACAGCACTGGTGATGCTTTATACACCGAAAACTTCGCCGAGTACCGGAACAAACCTGTGCCTGAAGTCGAGGCTTTGTTGAACAGTCTTGGATTGGTGGCGACTAAATCTAGTCCAGTTCAATTCCCAGAAGACACAAGTTAGTGCGTTTACCACTAAAAATAACCCCTTTGTCATATCTCCTCAGTTTTAAGGTACTCCCTTTGTTGCCTCAGTCAGTATCGAAATCCTCGGCGTAGACATATCGAATGATGTGCAGTTTCGTGGTCACTTGGAAGAGAAAGCCAAATTAGCATCTAAAGAGCTTGGCATGCGCAGCAGAGTGGAACAGTATTTGATGCCGGCACACTGCTTGCTAATTTACAAGGCCCAAGTTCGGCCCCACATGGAATACTGTTTCCATCTCTGGGCAGGGGCTCACCAGTGCCAGCTCCTTCCACTTGACCGCATCCAGCGCAGAACAGCTCGATAAGTCGACGACCGAGTTCTTTCCGATCGGGTTGACTCACTGACGCTGCGAAAAGATGTTGCATCTCTGCGTATTTTATCGCACCTACCATGGAGA